CCACTTGGGAGTCAAAGCAAACTTAAATGGCAGCAGACCATGAGGCAGAGAGGAAATATGGAAAAGTCACTGGGAAATTGGAAGGGACAAAAATAAAGAGAAATAGAAAGTATCTTAACTAATTCTCTGAGTGGTTATTTGCTCATTAATGTATTCATTCAACGTTTATTGGGATTTGTTATAGGGTATGCCAATGCTCAGCTTTAACAATAATGTCAAGTTATTTTATTTTATTTTATTAAAAAATTTTTTTAATGTTTATTTAATTTTGAGAGAGAGAGAGAGAGCGCGCGCGTGAGAGAGAGAAAGACAGAGAGAGAGAGAGAGAGAGAGTGGGAGAGGGGCAGAAAGAGGGAGGGAGATACAGAATCCCAAGCAGGTTCCAGGCTTCGAGCTGTCAGCACAGAGCCCATTGCAGGGCTTGAACTCACAAACTGAGATCATGACCTGAGCCGAAGTCAGACACTCAACCGACTGAGCCACCCCGGTGCCCTGAAAACTGATTTTTTTAAAGCAAGAAAATGAGAAACATAAAATTCAGGATGGAGGTTATCTCAATGCAGGGAGGTAGGAAGATGGGTTAGGGAAAGAACATAGAGAGATGAAGTTATTGACAATATTCTAATTCTTGGCCTGGATGGGATGTTCATGGAAGTTCACTATAAACACATTCCAAATAATCAAATTCAAGGGAACAGATAAAATGAAAGAGGATTACTGACATGGTTTCACGAGCCAAAGATTACAAATGTTTTAATTTGGTGGGTCTGACAATTTAATTTGGTGGGTCTGACAAGACAATGAAATAGAATATTTACTGAGCTCCTAGTGGGAACTGAAATTATGCTCTAGATTTATTCTGCAATCACAAACGTGTCCAAACTGTTGGTGAGTTTCAGCTACAAAGGTTTGTTTCTTGCTCAACTATAGCTCAGCAGAAGGTCTTTGCTCAGGGACCCAGGTTGAGAGAACAAGCAACACCCTGAATGTTGGTATTTATCATACGTTTTGATCTCTCTACCGTGCAATAGATTCTCAGCGTTTTCTCCTTTGATTTCTATTCCTGAGTTCAGTGAAGGGAAAGACAGAAGTTGAGAAGGACCAATTGTGAGGAATACCAAACACAATACCAAATGAGATGTTAGAGTTCAACACTTAGGTTGAAATGCTACTAGATGTGAAATTTTCCATTTCCAACAATATTATATATATATATATGATATATGATATATATCATTCCCCATTTGCATCGAGGCTTCAGTTACCATAGTACATCCAGAATTTCTAGCTCTGGTCATGCTCACTAAAAGGATTCTTAACTGGGAGTTCCCATTAAATGCAATCAAAATGATCCATAATTCTTATTCATGAAATTTGAGCTTTCTCAGGTAATTCTATTTTGTTCAAACGTTTCTTGACAGTTCATCAAATCAATTAATAACCCACTAACCTTGACAGTTCATCAAATCAATTAGTAACCCACTAACCTTGACAGTTCATCAAATCAATTAGTAACCCACTAACCTTGACAGTTCATCAAATCAATTAATAACCCACTAAAGCCAGATGCACTTGAGTTTTTAAGATTTCAAGTTAGTTTAGAGATCTCTCGATACAGGTAATTGGAGGAGTATTGCTCAGTTTTTCCTCAGCCAGATTTATTCTCTGATAAAAGTGCACAATTAGGGTTTTCTTCTTCATTTTTTAAAATTTGTATTTATTTATTTATTTTGAGAGAGAGAGAGAGAGAGAGAGCACATACAAGCAGGGGAGGGGCAGAGAGAGAGGGAGAAAGAATCCCAAGCAGATTGCATGCTGTCAGTGCAGAGCCCAATGCTGGGCTCGATCTCACAAACCATGAGATCGTGACCTGAGCCCAAATCAAGAGTAGGATGCTTAACCGACCGAGCCACTCAGGCACTCCTAGGGTTAAAAACAAAACAACAGCAACAACAAAAACTCAGTAGGACTCCCTTTCACTCATTCCCTAATTGATCCATTCACGATGTTTCTGATTCTCAGATTCTGGTTACCTAATGATGACTGCCAATTACTGTTCAATCATGTATTCAACAAACATTTTCACTCATCTTTTCTAGAAAGTACAGGTATAAAACAATTTATAGTAGCATGGCACTTAGTAGGTGCTCAAATAGGTGTTAATGTTATTACTAAGTACAATTGGGATTGTATTTAGAAATATCACCACTGACCACTGTTACAATGGATTTTGCAAACTTCCCCACTCCAGCATTGTAACCTTTTCTCCTTAAGTAGCAGAAATTGCATACTAAAACAAAAAGAGTCACACATCATTCGGTCTTGAGATTGGGAAGAGTGGCTAGGAAAAAGTCCCTGGAGGATTTGTTTCCAATTCCTCTTCCTCCCAAGTCGCCCACCTGCTAAGGTCAGGTGGTGCCCCAGGAAAACAGTCATGCACTGATGTGGATGGAGAAGTCTCTTAAAAAGTCTCTGCCAAAGTTTAAGGGAGTGGATCTTCTGGCTGTCATACTAATTCCTTCTCTTTTGAAATATTGTCTTTTCATCCTGCACATTGGTGAGTCTAAGATGCAAAAGGAAAATGTTCCTAAATGACTTCAAAATAGATTTTCAGATGCCTATTTTGAAAATGTCTGCCTTTCCTTTCCCACTTCCAAGGCTCCCTATCTCGGGGAGACAAGAGCCTGATACCTATGCTTTGTCTAACTCCCCCACCCTGACCTAATGTGCAACCCCCTGGAGTACTCTTCTGCAACCCTCTCATGCGAAGTTATTTATCTTCCTTCATAGTCAACTCAATCTGTTTATGGAGAATGCTCCCCCAAGCTCTGTTGATAATCTATTCCAGTGCTGAATTATTCCTGTAATCACAAAGTTTAAAAAAATACCTTAGATTGCTCATTTAGCTGCAATCACCCTTCACTCTTCTTAGAACCCTTCTATGTCCTCCCATTGCTCTTGAGCTAAAGTCTAAAGTCTTTAATATGGCCTTGGGGGCCCTGCATGATTTAGCTTCTGTCTCCCTGTCCAGCCTCTCTTGCGGCCCCTTGCACACTACCACTGCTTGTCCCCTTCATTCTCAAGGCTCTAGAATATTTCCTCCTCTTGCAGTTACCTGTTTCTCGACCCCATAAGTAATCCCGGTCCTTATTCAGTCTCTTCTTGGTAAATTACCAAGGAGCTCAATTGCTGGCTCTTATGGTAGGAATATGTTTAGTTTTATAAGAAACTGCCAAATTAGGGGCGCCTTGGTGGCTTAGTCGGTTGAATGTCCGACTTCGGCTCAGGTCATGATCTCTTGGTTCGTGGGTTCCAGCCCCATGTCTGGTTCTGTGCTGACAGCTCAGAGCCTGGAGCCTGCTTTGGATTCTGTGTCTCCTCCTCTCTCTGCCCCTCCCCTGCTCATGATCTGTCTCTCTGTCTCTCAATAATAAATAAACGTTAAAACAAAAAAATTTAGAAAGAAACTGCCAAACTGTTTTCCAAAGTGCCTGTACTGTTGTGCATTTCCACCAGCAATGAATGAGAATTCCTACTGCTCCAAACCACCATTTGGTGTTATCAGTGTTCTGAATTCATACCATTGTTGTAGGTGTGCAGTGGTATTTCATTGTCGTTTTTAATTTGCATTTTATTCTGATGAGTATTATGTGGAGCACGCTTTCAAAAGCTTTTTTTTTTTTTTTTTTTGCATCTGTATATCTTCCTTGGTGAGGTGGCTGTTGAGATCGTTGGCGTATTTTTAGCTGATGGAATGGGAAAAGATATTTGCAAATGACATATCAGATAAAGGATTAGTATCTAAAACCTAGGAAGAACTTACCAAACTCAACACCCAGAGAACAAATCACCTGGTGAAGAAATGGGCAGAAGACATGAATAGACACGTTTCCAAAGAAGACATCCAGATGGCTAACAGACACATGGAAAGATGCTCAACATCGCTCATCATCAGGGAAATACAAACCCAATACATCCAAAGGACACAAAACTGATGATTTGAAGGGGCACATGCCGCCCATGTTCATAGCAGTGCTATCCACAATAGGCAAATTATGGAAAGAGCCCAAATGTCCATTGAATGATGAATGAATAAAGACGTGGTGTATATATAGAATGGAATACTACTCGACGATCAAAAAAAAAAAATGAAATCTCGACATTTGCAACAACATGGATGGAACTAGAATGCATTTTGCTAAGCAAAATAAGTCAGTGAGAAAAGACACACAACATGATTTCACTCATACGTGGAAATTAAGAAACACAGCAGATGAACATAGAGAAAGAGGAGGAAACATGAGATGAAAACAGAGAGGGAGGCAAACCATAAGAAACTCTTAAATACAGAGAACAAACTGAGGGTTGCTGGAGGGGAGGTGGGTTGGGGGATGGGTTAAATGTGTAATGGGCATTAAGGAAGGCACTTTTAGGGATGAGCCCTGGGTGTCATATGTAAGAGATGAATCACTGGGTTCTACTCCTGAAGCCAAGACCACACTGTATGTCAACTAACTTGATTTAAATAACAATAATAAGAAGAAGAACTTTGAACTACTTTTATTTATTTAAATACATTTTTTAATGTTTATTTATTTTTGAGAAAGAGAGACAGAGCATGAGCAGGGGAGGAACGGAGACAGAGGGAGACACAGAATCTGAAGCAAACTCCAGGCTCCGAGCTGACAGCACAGAGCCGGATGCGGGGCTCGAACCCACGAACCGTGAGATCATGACCTGAGCTGAAGTCAGCCACTTAACCAACTGAGCCAACCAGGCATCCTTTGGCCTACTTTTAAATTGGATTGTTTGTTTTCCTACTGGTGAGTTTTAAGAAGGCTTTGTATATTTTGGAAAGCAGTACTTTATCAGATGTATTTTTTGCAAACATTTCCTCCCAGTCTGTGACTTGTCTTCTCATTCTCTTGATGTAGTCTTTCACAGAGCAGAAGCTTCTAATTTTAATGAATTCCAGCTCATCAATGCCACTATCACTGAAACACTTGCTGCTCGTTTGGCAATGAGGACCTCCACCAACCACAGGATAGCATCTGGCATGAGATAGCAGTGCACCTGCTAATACTTACACCAGAGGTAAACTGGAAAGATATTCTTATAGAAGAGAATGTTCTAGCAGTTTTGAGACATAGGGGAAAGAAAAGTTATTCTATGAACAGTAAAACTGGGTAGCTGTTGCTAAGCACAATGGACAGTTTGGAAACTAGGTAATGAAAGGCTGTGAGGGATTAATTGACAAGTAAAGGCTAAGTGTTCTGGATTCCTAGGTGTCTCAGTCAGTTAAGCATCCAACTCTTGATTTCAGCTCGGTTATGATCCCAGGGTCATGGGATCGGGTCCTGTGTTGGGCTCCACACTGAGCACGGATCCTGCTTGAGATTCTCTCTCTCTCTCTCTCTGTCTCTCTCTCTCTCCCCCTCTCCCCCACTCACACACTCTCTCTCTCAAATAATTTTTTTAAAAAAAGAAATAAAAGGTAAGTTTGCAAGTCAAAGGGTTTTCTTGGTAGCATTAAGAGAGGTGCTGATGAGAGGGGCACCAGCATTATTAAGAAGCTCAGTAGTGGCCATGATCTGTACTGCAGAGCTGTTATAAGAGATGCCACTACAGAGCTGGACTGCCTGACAGCAATAGGGATAATAGGATCCCAGAACAATAGCTGCAGGTAGTGTTACTTAACCCTAGGAAGCCAGGTGGATAGAATTTATCATAATGAAAGGCAAGGACAGACAAAACAGCCAGGGGATCAGACCCACAGAGAATGATGGAATTAGTTAACACAACTTCGCATCACTAGGATCAAAATAGATGGTCAGACGACAAGGAACCTATGCGGTCTACGGGATCAAAAGCTATCAAAGGTGTATGATTAGGATGCTGAGGGCAGCTGCCCCAACACAAAGTCATGACTTCTCACCTGGTTTCACATATAAGCCCGTTTTCAAACCCAGAGCCCACTGACCGAAGGGTAGGTTGTGTACCCAGGAGGAAGGATTCCGTAACACCATAATACGTTAACAGAGAATTATTCCTCCAGTACTCCCCCAAGTGAATCTATACACATTTACTCAGGGAACCATATGTTAGGGAAAAGGGAATAGTGAACACATGAGAGTATTGGATGCTGGGTCTCAATTAACACTGATGTACAGAGATTCGAAGCCTCAACTTGGGCTCTTTATTAGAGTAGGGCATAGGACACCTGGTGATAAATGGAGCTCAGGCCTATGTCTGGATTGCAGTGTGTCCACTGGGTCTGTGGACTCGTCCAGTGGTCCCCTAGCCAGTCTTTGAATGGATAGTCAGAGGAGACATATTTGGTAACAGGCACAATCTTGACATTGGCCTCTTAGCTGGTGGGATATGTGCTACTGTAGCAGAGAAAACTGGGTGGGAGCCTCTGGAGTTGCACCTCTACTCTCCTGCCAAGGTAGCAAGTAAAAAAAAAAAAAATCCAGGAGGAATGAAAGAAGTTAGTACCACTCCTGAAATTCTTTCCCATCCTATCTCCTTTTAATTTGTTAGTATGAGCCCTGAAAAAACCAGATGGATCCTGTAGGATGACTATAGATATTTCAAGCTCAGGCAAATTCTGGTGTCCATTGCACCTGCTGGCCCTGAGGTATCCCTTTTAGAGCAGATTAGCATAGCCTCAGATTCATGGTATGCGGCCACTGATCTGGCCAATCCATTCTTTTGTTATCTCTATCAGAGAAAAAGATATCTGGAAGGCTTCAGATTCACTTCAGACAGAAACCTGTATGCATTTACAGTCTTACGCTAAGGCTATGTTAACTCTCGGAGACTTGGACATTCTACACAACATCTATTGGTTCATTATATGGATAGAATCGTGCTATTCAGACTAGAAGAAAAAGTAGTGACTGGTTCATGGAAGCCCCATGTGCTTCCGGCTGTAGTAAAAAACTAGAAAAATTTAGGGGGTCCCATATGAGTAAAAAATTTAGGTGTTCAGATCATCTCTGCAGAAAAGGGTAAATGATTTCATCTTGCACCTCCAAATAGAAAGAAGGGCACTCAACACCTGGTGGACCTCTTGAAATTCTGGAGGCTGCACATTCCACATCTAAGAATATTGCTGCAGCCCAAATACCTAGGGAAACAGAAAGTTGCCAATACTGATTAGGGCCTGCAGCAGATTAAGGCTTCTGTGCGTTATTTGACACTGGCCTTTGGCCTAATGACCTAATAGACCAGTGATATTATGTAAATTAAAAATAAATAAATAAATAAATAAATAAATAAATAAATAAATAAAGGAGTACTCGGGGCGGGGGGAAGAAGTATCTTCAGTGGTGGGAAAAGACTCCATGTAAAGAGTATGCTAAGCTCCAAAGACAAATCACAACACAGACCCTAGGATTCTGGAATAAGACCACACAAACTTTAATAAACAATTATACGCCTTTTGAAAAAAAGCTCCTGGCATGCTACTGAGTCATGGAAGAGGTGGAATGATTGATCATGAGAAATCTAATGACCACGGAGTCACAGCTGTCCATCATGAGCAGGGTTCTATCCGACCCACCAAGTCATGTCGTTGGACAGATCCAGCAAGCATCTATTGCAAGATGAAAGCAGCACATGAAGAATTGGGTGGGAGCAGGGCAGAGGACACAAGCAAGTTCCCTAAGCAAGTGGCCCGGACACCCATGTCATCCATCCAATAGAATCTCTCTCTCTCTTAGTTCACACCTCTGACCATATAGAGTATCCCTAACAACCAGCTGGTAGATGAGGCAAAACTCTGAGCTGGATTCTAGGATGGGGTGGCTATATATGCAGGTTTAAGCCACAATTCTAGCAGGGATAATTAACCTTGATAATCAGGAGGAAGTATGGCTTCTGTTACACAATGGCGGCAAAGAGAACCCTGTTTGTAACCCAAGTAATTCACTTGGGTTCCTCCTGGTTCCTCTTGATACTCCCTTGTCCGATAAGAAATGCATGCAGCAATCACATAAAGGCGGGGTAACCAGGGGTGAGATTCCTTGGGGATGATGATATGGGCAAAGCCACAAGGTAAGTCACCAGGACTCCAAGTACTAGACAAGAGGGGGGAGCATCTACAATGGTTGAAGAGGAAAGAGATAATGGGTATAAGCAGTTACCCTGAAACCAGCTGCAGTGTTCCGGGCTAACCTTCCTGTGTAAGTTTTCCTTGAGAGAAGCTTCCCCCCTTCAAACTGACCCCAGAAGCCTAGAGGAGTTGCTTCCAGAACTTAAAGTAGTGGATCCAAGTGGGATGAAGGAAAGACCAGCATAGGCTGTGGCGCATTGCCTAGATCTCCTTTCAGCCCTGTAGGGCTTTATTCCTCCACCTGCTGAGAATTACCGCGTGCAGATACTCTCAACTGTCAGCCCTTTGTAATATTTGCCTTGGCTCAAGAGGGTTGCCTTGCCCAAGGCCACATGCCCCCTTTCTGCAGCAGCCCACATCCAAAGACTGAAGGGTAGTGGTCTTCAGTGGTTCAGTGAAGAATACTGGTTTCTCAGTGATTGCTGTGTCCTCAAAACACAGGAATTACTTTGCACATGGTAGTGTATTCATGCATTTCTGTTTATTTGAACTGGAAGCTAGTAAGGAATGAGTTTTTGAAGACTTTAAGGTTAATAAGATGCTACCCGGTCTGGCAGGGAAGGCTCTGGGCTTGGAGCTGGTCTCGGGGAAGGATAAGCTGAGGCTAAGGTATCTAATGAGCCTGCTTCTGCCTACCAACAGCCTTCAAATCCATTCCCCTCCCCTCCGAAACCTTACAGCTCTTGCAAAACATGCCATGAAGTGTAGTAATTTAGTATCATTTGACTTTGCTCACTCTTGTCATTTGTGATCATCTTGGTCCATAAAAGCCTATCACCTCTTTCAGTAAAAGGACACGTTTTTGAACCTCTCTATTTTCTACAGCACCAGGCACAGCTCTGAGAACTTGGGACACGCGTATTTGCCAATCAGCTGACCCCTAACCCAGCCGATGGGCACAGATTTTATCTGGTGGCAAAGTTTTAATGGTGGCCAAGTGGATTTCAGTTTAATTTGTTGGGTATCTGTCACGTGGAAGAACACTGGGGGAGAACGGTGTCACCAGTGAAGGGAGAAACAAAACAACACTGTGATCCTAAAGTCGGCACACTTTTCTTGGTCCCTATCTGCCTGTTTGAATTTCATCACAGGGAGTAATAGATTTCTTTGTTTCCATTCTAGGTCTGGAGTGAATTAGCACTAATGTTTTTGTTTGTTTGTTTGTTTAGTTAGCAGAACTGCCTTCCATATTCCTGGAATCATGAGATCTTGGAAGAACATACTCAACTGAAAGAAAAAAAAAGAAAGAAGACTTTCTCATCTACTTGCTCCCCAGATTTTTGAAACGGATCCAATGAATAATCTTTGGTGGTAGTGGTTGTTAAAATGGCTGGTGGAGGCAAAGAGGGATGACGGGAAATTTTGGAGTCAAAACTCTGGAATTCTCTGTGTTTTCTGGTGGCAGACGTTTCATGTATTAGTTCACTTAAAATTTGCATCAAAGACTATAACCTGACAATATGAGAATTATACTTTTTTTTCCCCCATTTTGCTCTGCATTTTAAGGCCATCCCAAGCCCAATGGCATTTTCCTGTTGCATTTTGCTGGTGGTGTCACCATAAGACATATTAAAATGAATGAGATGTAGCTTGCCTGAATCTCTAGGCTTGTCAGCTAAGGAAACAATATTTTTGAGTGATTAAATGAAATAAACTAAAGAACAAGCAACTAATACCTACATTTCTCTAAATTCCCAAGGCCAAAACAAACACCTGGACCCTGGACTTTAAAAGATAAAATTTTGGGGGCACCTGGGTGGCTCAGTCGGTTGAGTGTAGGACTCTTGATTTCGGCTCAGGTCATGATCCCAGGGTTGTGGGATTGAGCCCCGTGACAGGCTTAGCCCTGAGCATATAGCCTACTTGAGATTTTCTCTCTCCCTCTGTCCCTCTCCCCTGTTTCAAATTAAAAAACAATTTAAAAAAAGATAAAATCTTTTGTTCATCAACATTTTGTTTTGCTATGTGCCTCTAAGAAGGCAGGCCTTGTATTTAAATTTCACTTTATTGTGGGAGAAACTATGGGATCAAAAATTCTGGGTTCTAGGGGCGCCTGGATGGCTCAGTCGGTTAAGCGTCCGATTTTGGTTCAGGTCATGATCTCACGGTTCATGGGTTCGAGCCCTGCATCGGACTCTGTGCTGACAGCTCAGAGCCTGGAGCCTGCTTCGGATTCTGTGTTTCCCTCTCTCTCTGTCTGCCCCTTCCCCACTCATGCTCTGTCTCTATCTCAAAAATAAACATTAAAAAAACTTCTGGGTTCAAGTCATACTTCTAGGTACTACGTATATAACTCTGGTTGTGTATTCCCTTATTAGCTCCATTTTCCTGTTTATGAAACCAAAACAAAAGAGATGATATTGTAAAGTTGTTGTAAAGTTTAAGTGAATAGCTTAAATCATCTGGCACAGAGCATGGGTGGGCACTTGGGAAATGTGAGTTGCTTATTTTCCACTCCCCTTTTTGTGGATGCTATGAAGAATGAATCAGTTACAGCAATGATGGGATGCCAGCTGTCTGAGTTAGCTTGGGCTGCTATGACAAAAGAGCAGAAACTGAGTGGCTTAACCAACAGACATTTGTTTCTCACAGTTCTGGAGGTTGAGAAGTCCAAGGTCAGGGTGCCGGCAGATTCAGCTCCTGGTGAGGGCCCTCTTCCTGGCTTCTTGCTGTGTCCTCGCATGGCAGAGAGAGAGAGTGGGAGGGGTGTTCTGGTTTCTCTATCTCTCCTTATGGGACGTTAATCTCATCATGGGGTGCCACCCTCTTGAGAACCTAGCTATCTCCGGGGCACCGGGGTGGCTCAGCAAGCGCCCAACTCTTGATTTCAGCTCAGGTTGTGATCTCACAGTTTGTGGGTTTGAGCCACGCATGGGGCTCTGTGCTGACAGTGCAGCGCCTGTTGGGGATTCACTTTCCCCCCTCTCTTTCTGCCCCTACCCCACTTGCTGTCTCTCGAAAGATAAATAAATAAACTTAAAAAAATAAATATACCTAGTTACCTCCAAAGGCCCCACCCTTAGACACCATCACATTGGGGGTTAGGGCTTCAAGATATAAATTTTGAGGGACACAGACAGTCAGCCCATCACATCTGAGTGACAGACAGTGGTTTAGAATATTACATCTTTCTCGGCCGCCATTCCCAGATGGTCTTGTTCGCGGTGCCTGCCTTGTGCTCACTAGTAGGGAAGATTCCGGACATGGAACACCAAACCCCAAAGGACCCTGAGAGACTGTCAGACTCTGAGGGGCACCAGTTCCTGAGTTTCCTGAGACTTCGCAGGGAAGAAGGAAAATCAGGGGAGGTAAGAGAGACAAAATCTAGAACACCCACCACGTAATAAACAGCCTCATTTTCTGCAAGGGGGATGGGCGTCCCAGTGCCTGTGGCCGCTGCCACTATCACTGAAACACAGGCAGCATGTCAGGCCATGGGCAACTGTTGCCAGCATCTCTTGGAAAGCCAAGATGAACGGGTCTCACCTGCTGCTGCAGACGGGCTGGGGAAGAGTTCTGAGATGACGAGGTTTTGAGCTTCTTTGGGAGCAAGAAGGCCTGAGTGATTCAGGGAAGGTGTCTGCAGGTGTGCACGAAGGATTGGGGGTGGATGGCCATAAGTCACAAGTGCCACAGAAGGGCCAGGTATTCGATAGGGTCCCAGCGGCTGGGAGGTCATGCTGAGCAATGAAAAGAAATGACATTCAAGTTGAGGAGAGAAGACTGGAGGCAGACAAATCCAAGAAACTTCAGTTCTCGGGTGCCTGGGTGGCTCAGTTGGTTGGGCATCCGACTGCGGCTCAGGTCATGAGCTCTTATGTTCACGAGTTCGAGCCCCGTGTCGGGCTCCGTGCAGACAGCTCAGAGCCGGGAGCCTGCTTTGGATTCTGTGCGTCCCACTCTCTCTGCCCTTCACCTGCTTGAGCACGCACTCTCTCTCTCCCTCAAAACTAAATAAACATAAAAAATATATATATAAAAAAAGAAGAAGAAACTTCAATTCTAGGTGCACCCTGAGGTAAGGAGTATGATATGCTTCAGGGGCCATGGAACTGGAAAAAGAGATGTACTAACTCAGCTTTCCTGTTTATAAGGCTTAATGACTTAATAACATTCTCTATTTTCCCATGTGTGAAATGAGGTTAACCCACCTCTACGTGATTGTTCTGGGGATTAAATGAGACAGAGCATGTTGTACAAGTTAGGATTCTTGGTTGCAGGCAACAGAATCCAATTGGGGCCAATTTAGGCTGAAAACTACCTTACTGGGGAATGGATAGCTTACAGAATCCCCATTAGGACTTAAAAATTGGGCTTAGGGGCTACATAGTGAGGGATGCCTAACACTGGATAGAAGATCTGGGCTGGGGACAACAGGAATGGCCCCTCTCTGAGCAGGGACACTGGAAGCTACTGCTGGAATCGCCATTGCTGCTGCCTTGGGAAACTGGACTTGGCCATTGCCATCCTCACCAAAGTGCAATCTGCATGGTACCTGTTCCTTTATGCCACTGGCGTCCAAAGTAAAGTCTGCAGCAGGTGGCTCTCATGGCAACAGCTAAGTAACATTCCAGGCCCTAGTCTGGAAAAGAAAGCCTGGTGTCTACAGTGAGGAACTTCCCAGTCACAAGAAAGGTGTTGAAAAATGCTGGGAGACTGAAAAACAACAACAACAACACATGTTTATTACATATGTTTAAGTCTGCAGTTTATCTTTGTTTGAGAGGAAGGTCTTCCCCTTGGCAGTGAGGAAGGTATAGAAGGAGTATGAAAGGGCCTGAGTCTCAGTTTCCACTGACCCACCAAACATGGAGCCTACTAATGGGGCATGTTGAGTTTGATTCATGTTGGTGGGATCTGTTGAACCTCAATGTTACTTTTCTACTCCCATGAGAGGTTGGTGAAGGAGCTTTTAAGGGCAAGTAGAGTCAGCCATGTGATTAAGTACTCTAAATAATTCCGCTTGCTTTCTACCATCAGCCTGGTCCCCATTTTTCTGTGAGCAATTGCAGTGTGATTCATACATGGTGCACCGGCATATAAGCTTTTTTCTAGAAAAATGCTCATTCAGAACCCAGGCCCTTTCCCTACAATGGCATCTGGTTAAAAAAACCAAAACCCAAACCAAAAACTGTTCTCCAGAAAAAGAGAGAGAAAGAAAAAAGAAAGAAAGAAAGAAAGAAAGAAAGAAAGAAAGAAAGAAAGAAAGTAGCGAAGGAAGAAAGACGGATTCAATACTCACCTGTGGTGTCTGCTTAGTGAAAGCAAATACAGTTTTCTTTCCCCCTTTCTTCTGTTACCATATAAATAAAGAGGCTACTGAGATTTCACAAGCTGCCCTGGCTTTGAAGTGAAGCCCAATTCCCTTGGGTAAACCGAATGAGCTTTTTTTGGTCTGCCCCCATCACTATTGACAGAGGCAATAAATGCATTTTGGGTCCTACTTAGCCTCAGGTTTTCCTCTACCAACTCTCTAAACTTCCCAGTGTCCTGCTTAAAAACTCATGGGTCAGCATAATTCTGCTTTGGGGTTTAGATCCCAAGTAAAGGTTGCGTGGTCAGTGTTGCTGCCACCCCTTCAGATCTGGGCTGTCTTGGCACGAAGCTGGCATTTGACACATGTCTAGAGCGAATGACAAAGAGGCCGTGTGACCTAACGCTGCAATTGCCAGATGCTAGGCTCTCTCAGGGCACCGTGAATTGGGTCACTCTTCCTGAGTTGGACGCTTTAGGGAAACCCTGAATTTGTTTGGGGCCCTGGCAGGTGAGGGTAATGGCTGCAACCGGGGAAGGGGAGAGGGAGGAGAAAACTCTCCCAGCTGTGGGAAAACGGCGACATCTCATGGGCACGTGACAAACCCCCACACCCCTCAGTCAGGCAGACCCGGACAGGCTGACTGGAGGAACCACCTTTATTCCTTCCAGGAACGCTGAAGAGTGCCTCTCTCTTCTCTGATTTCCCTGATTCTCTTTTCCCTGCCTATCACGCTGCTCCTGTGCCCTTTGAAACATGGTTTTGGCTGGTAATTGTTAAAAAAAAAAAAAAAAAAAAAAAGCATAAAAAAATGATTGATTCATGCTTCCCTGGGGTAACTGTGCCTTGTTAGGGCCCCTCTTGTGGGATTTCCTTTATCGAGGATGATGAGAATTCTCCCCAGTTCTTTGACATTCTTCTAAGTACAAAGGGACAGGAAGTCTCTCTTTATGCTCCTCCTGTCCTCTCTATTCTCCAGGGGAGCAGAGAAAGCACACGCTGTTACTCATGGGCCCTGGGGGCAAGGTTCTGACGGACTATTTTTAAATCAGGACAATAACATCTGTGAACATAGCGATAGCTACCGCCCAGCTGCTGACCACAGATTCACAGTAGCAACATGAGGTCCTGTCCAAGAAGCTCTTCTAAGACTGCTTTTTTTGTGTGTTGGAAGGAGAAGAGAGGCTAAGGAAATGGTAAAGGTGGGTGTAGAGGCCCTTCATCAGTACCCTTGAAAATGACCAGCCTCACGGCCGGCCTCTCTCTCAAACTTTGGTGTGGACCACGCTCACCTGGACGGTGTGTTCCAATGTACATTGGTCACTGGGCCTCAC